TCGAGCCACGGTCGAATCCGTGGGAGCCAAGCGACATAGCCATTACGCTAACTGCTGGTCCCTGTTTTTAAAGTTTATCAGAGGGTATGTACGCTTGCCAGAGAGAGAGACAGACAGAGCAAGAAATTGAGAAATCCCCCCCCACAAGGTGATGGCCATACTACAATCCCTTCTCCTCCACTCTTCTCTTGGAATTTTGGGCATGCGTGCACATGCACCTGGTGTGTTTCTCAAGCACCAGATCTGGGACTCGAACAACAAAGTCAGTCATGTGGGATCCAGCTGGATGGCCTGACAAATTTTTTGAGTACATGTGCTCACCAGAGAGGAAAAGAGAGCAAGTGAGAAATCATACCCCCAGGGGGGATAACCATGCTGCAGTCCCTTCTCCTCCATTCCTCTCAGGACTTGGGGCACACAAGCACACACACCCGGTGTGACTTTCAAGCTGAAGCATCCAAAACTCAAACAATGATCAGTGACGTGGGAATCCAACACCTTAACCACCTCGCCACCTGCTCCTCCCACCTAGTACTTTATTTTTTAAGTTCCTTCATTGGGACCAGCAGGTGGCGTAGTGGTTAAGGTGTTGGACTCCCACGCCAACAGTGATTCAAGTCCTGGATCTGGCAGCTTGAAACTCACACGGAGCACCTGTGCGTGCATGCCCAAACCCCCAAGAGGAGAATAGAGGGGAAGGGATTGTGACATGGTCACCCCCGCTGGGGGAGATATTTCTTGCTTTCTGTCTCTTCGTGTCTCTCTGGTGAGTATATTTGCCCTATACCAAAAATCTCCATCTCAAAAAAAAAGTGAATTCATTTCCTTCTTCTGAGAGAATGAACACGCAGCCGCCACAAGGTCATGTTGCTGTGATTCGCACAGCCTCAGTCAGCCCCAGATCGTGGGCACATGCATGCCTGGGGTACTCAAGAGAAGACTCTGGATGCAAACCCAGGACCTTCTCAGGTGGGGCAGCCTCACAAAATGTCTTAGCATCATGGCACCATCTAGTGCCCTTTAGTCTTACTCTTTTTTTTTTTTTTTTTTTTTGAGAGGAATTTTTGCATTAGGGCACATGCATTCCCTGGAGAGACAGAGAGACAGAAAGCGAGAAATCTCCCCCAGGTGGGATGGCCACACCACAATCCCTTCTCCTCCATTCTCCTCTAGGGATCTTGGGCACACATGCACATGCACCTGGTCCGAGTTTTAAGTTGCCAGATTCGGGACTCAAGCCACAGTTGACTATGTGGGAGTCCAGCAATGTAACCATTACGTCATCTGCTGGTCCCAATTTTATAGAAAATAAACAGCAGGGCCTGCAAGTGGTGTGGTGGTTAAGAGCTCTGGACTCCCACATGGTCAACTGCAGTTTGAGTCCCACATGGCCAACCATGGTTTGAGTCCCAGCTTGCTTTCTTGCTTTCCCTCTCTCTCTCATGCTGTCTGTCTCTGTTCAAATTAAATAAAAAGATAGATAGATAGATAGATAAATGGTAAATAAAATAATTCTTGAAAAAAAAGATAAAACAGCAAAATGCATCCCAACCTCCAATACGTTTTAACCCTCACATGGTCCCATGGTGCTGATTCTCCCCACATCACCCCACAAGTACCAGCTCAGACCCAGTACTTCAAAAAGCTCTCTCCCTGGGACCAGCAGTTAGCGTAATGGCTATATTGCTGGACTCCCATGTAGTTGACGGCGGTTCGAGTCCCAGACCCGGTGACTTAAACTCAGGCCGGGCACGTGTGCGTGCATGCCCAAGATCCTGAGAGGAGAATGGAGGAGAAGGGATTGCAGCATAGCCATCCCCCACCCCCGGGGGGTGATTTCTCGCTTTCTGTCTCTCTGTCTCTCTCTGTCTGTCTGGCAAGCGCACACACCCTATAGCAAAAAAACTCTCCGAAAAAAGAAAAGAAAAGAAAAAAAAAGCTCTCTCCCTACAACCTTCCATGGGAAACTTCAGCAGAGTTGTCTTACTATTGTCTTATTGGGAATTCCCCACCCCACCCAATCCCAGAAATCCTTTTTAAAAAAATAATTATTTTATTTTATTTTTTTAATTTATTCATTTATTTTTTAATTTGATCAGAGAGAGACAAAGCGAGAAAGCAAGCCACCAAGTCCAGGACTTGAACTGTGGTCAGCCACATGGGAGTGTCCAACGCCTCAACCATCACTCCACCTGCTGGTCCCCTCTTTCTTTTTTTTAATAATTATTAATTTAATTTATTTCTTCATTACCCTTTTTTATTTTCTTTTTTGGTCCAGGGCAGGGTGTGGGAGTAGTGCCAAGTCTGTGTGGAGTGCGGGCTGAGGGGATGTGGGGTTTTGACCGGAGGTGCCCTTACCGCTGGTGCCTGTGGTCCTTCCGCAGGCAGTGGGTCTGACATCATGGTGAGTGACTGCCGCAGCAAGGAGCAGATGAGCGATTGCTCTTATACCCACACTTCGCCAGTGTCCGGCTTCTGGATGTTCTCCCAGTGCTGCTTCCTGAATTTCTGCAATGACCCCCAGAAGAGATCTGTCTATCTTTCTTAGAATGACCGCAGCGTATCTGAGAGGAAAATTCCACCACATTCCTGATTTCTACCCGGACTCCAGTCCCTCGAACCAGCCCACCTGCCTCCAAGTCACTGGACCCCAGCCTTGACTCTTCTTGGCTGTCCCCTCTCCTTGAACTTCCTAGTTCACCTCAAGTCCCCAGGTGTTCCTCCAAAATAAATCGTTGTGCAAACTGATCTCTCTTTTGGTGGAGGTGGAGGCTGAGGGAAGGCCCTCCTCATGAGGACAAGTGGGGCTCCCAGCTGTCTCCGTCCTGCCTCAGTGTATCTGACCCGACTCTAAGCACAAGAAGGTGAAAGACTGGAAACCCTCTTACGGTGAGGGCCGGCCAGCGGGCATCCTCAGAAGCGCTGTTGGGGACTTGAGGAAGGTCCCAAGGGCTGTTTTGTTGGGAAGAGGGAGTTTCAAAAGGACCAGGCCCAAAAAAGGAGGGGATGGGTGAGGCCACTCTGGAAGAGACATTAGGTCTAGCCCAAGGCTGGTCTGACTCCCAGACTGTTTCCCTCAAGGACCTTGGCAAGGAACTCAGTTCTGGGCCTTGGAGTTCCTCAGTCTTTCAGGCTATCTTCCATTTATGTGAGACCTACATAGAAGACCTCCCAGAAAGAGGGGGACACACTGAGAATTTGAACCTCTCTTTATATCTCCAACTGTCTCATGACCTAAAAACATTGGTTTGGGGGACCAGCATGTGGTATAATGGTTATGTTGTTAGGTTCCCATATGGTCGACAGTGGTTCGAGTCCTGGATGTGGCAACTTAAAACTCATGCCCAGTACCTGTGTGTGTATGCCCAAAATCCCAAGAGGAAAATGAAGGAGAAGGGATTGCAGTGTGACCATCCTCCCTGGGGAAGTTGGGGGGGGTGATTTTTTGCTTTCTGTCTTTCTCTCTGGTGAGAGCACATGCCCTATGGTATAAATATCTAAAAACAGGGATCAGCAGTTAGCGTAATGGCTATGTAGCTGGACTCCCATGTAGTCGACCGCGGTTCAAATCCCGGACCCGGTGGCTTAAACTCACACTGGGTGCATGTGCATGCATGCCCAAGATCCCGAGAGGAGAATGGATGAGAAGGGATTGCGGTGTGGCCATACCCCCTGGGGGGTGATTTCTCGCTTTCTGTCTCTGTCTCTCTCTGTCTTGCTGGTGAGCACACGCTTGCAAAAACCTATAGCAAAAACCTCTCCAAAAAAAAGAAATCTCTAAAAACCAAACAAACAAACAAAAACAGAACAAAAAAAGCATTGCTTTGCTGTCTTCTGCCAGAAAAAGGCCATAAAGAGGCCAAGGAAGGGACCAGTAGATGGTGTAATGGTTATGTCACTGGACTCTCACATAGTCGACCATGGTTCAAGTTTCAGATCCAGCGGCTTAAAACACACTGGGCCAGGGACCAGCAGGTGGCATGGTAGTTAAGGCACTGGACACTCCCACATGGTCTACCAGGGTTCAAGTCCTGAATCTGGTGGCTTGCTTTTTCGCTTCCTCTCTCTCTCACTCTCACTCTCTGTCTCTCTCTGATCAAATTTAAACAAAAATATATAGCTTGCTGGGCCAGCCAGGTGGTGTGATGGTTAAGGACGCTGGACTCCCACATGGTTGACCACGGTTCAAGTCCTGGACCTGGAGGCTTGCTCTCTCACTTTCCCTTTCTCTCTTCTTCTCTCACTCTGTCCCCCTCTAGTCAAATTAAAAAACAAAAAAAACCCGAAATGAATGAATAAAGATAAATAAAATAATTCTTTATAAAAAAAAGGATAAATAAATGAAATAAAATAATTTTTTTAAAAAGGGGCCGGCAAGTGGCATGGTGGTTAAAGGCACTGGACTCCCACATGGCTGACCACAGTTCAAATCTCAGACCTGGTGGCTTGCTTTCTCACTTCCTCTCTCTCTGATCAAACTGGAAAATAATAATGATAATAACAATAAAGTTAAATAAAATAATTCTTAAAAAAAAAAAAGAAATACTATTAAAAAACAAAAAAAAAACCACTGTGTGTGTGTGTGTGTGCCTGCCCGAAATCCTAAGAGGAGAATGAAGAAGGGACTGTGGTATGATCATCCTCCAGGGGGTGATTTCTCGCCATTTCTCTGTCTCTATCTCTCCAGTGAGTGCATGTGCCCTATAGCAAAAATCTCTTAAAAAAACAACCAAACCTGGGACCAGCAGTTGGCGCAATAGCTATGTCGCTGGACTCCCATGTAGTCAACTGCAGTTCGAGTCCCGGACCCATGGCTTAAACTCGTGCCAGGCACATGTGCGTGTGTGCCCAAGATCCTGAGAGAAGAATGGAGGAGAAGGGATTGCACTGTGGCCATCCCCCATGGGGAGAGATTTCTCACTTTCTCTCTGTCTTTCTGGAGAACATGTGCACCCTATAGCAAAAACCTCTCAAAAACAAAAACAAAATAAAACAAAAATGACTCACACCAGGTGTGCGTGTGCATGCCCAAGATCCCAAAAGGAGAATGGAGAAGAGATTACGATGTGGCCATTTCCCTGGGAGGTGATTTCTCACTTTCTGTCTCTCTCTCTGGCAAGCACTCATGCCCTATAGCAAAAATCTCTCTCTAAAACAAACAAACAAAAAAACCAAAACACTGTATGAGAGTATATCCTATACACTACATTTCCACCAAGTACACAGATAAAACTCATCTAAGCTGTTGTAAGTCGGTACAGCAGCTAACCCTGAGCTGGCAGGAGTGTCTGGGAAGGGGCACAAGAGCCGCTTGGGGTGCCGATAGAGGCCTTTATGCTGAAATGGGGGCTGGTTTTACAAGTGTATTGTTCACAAAAATCCAGCGTGTGGTATGTGCGATGCTGCCCTCATCAGTAGAGTGGTCAGTGTCCCTGTCACACGAGGCCAGTGTTGACTTCTCCAATGGGGAAGCAGCCATCCTTGCTTCTATTTTGAAGAAAAGGATGTGGTGGTTTAGCTGCTGGACCCCACATGGCCAACCCTGTGGTTGGAATCCTGGGCCCGGCAGCTTGAAAATCATATCAGCTCTGAGTGTGTGCATGCTCCAGATCCCGCGAGGAGCCTGGAGGAGAGGATTGTGACATGGCCATCTCCTGGGGGGCGATTTCTTGCTTTCCCTCTGTGGTGAGCTTACACGCTCTATAGCAAAAACAAAAACCATCAAAAAAATTGAATGTGTTTGTTTATTATTTTTTTAAAGAATTATTTTAATTTTATTTATTATTATTATCAATATTATTTTCCAGTTTGATCAGAGAGAGACAGAGGGAGATAGAGGAAGTGAGAAAGCAAGCCACCAGGTTCGAGACTTGAACTGTGGTTGGCCACGTGGGAGTCCAGCACCTTTAACCACCATGCCACCTGCTGGTCCCTTGTACGTCATATTTTTGTGTCATTATAAAAGGAAAGGTAATGTTATGAAATCAAGGGTTTTATAATTTTAAATCTTCCTTTAAAATAAATAAAATCTTTTGACAGATCTCTGATTTATGATAGTTCAACTTTACAATGGTGCAAAAGCAACAGGCATCCTAGAGAAACTACTTTGAATTTAAATTTTGATTTTTTCCCCTGGGCTAATGACATGCAGTATGCCATTCTCATGCCGTGCTTATGTGAGTGTGCCCAACTGTAGTTGAAAGTGTGTCTGGGCACACTGAAAGTAGACAGGCTAAGCTGTGATCTTTGGAAGGTTAGGTGTATAAAATGCATTTCCAGCTGATGGATTTATCAAGATGTCACACCACCACAGCAAGTCGAGGAGCATTTGTGTTTAATAACATGCTAGCAGTTTGCTTATTTTTAAAAGAGATCTTTGCTATAGGGTGCATGCATTTGTTGGAGAGACAGAGACAGTGAGAAATCACTCCCCAGGGGGGATAGCCATAGTACAATCCTTTCTCCCCATTCTTTTCTCAGGATCTTGGGCACGCATGCGCATGTGGTCAGCATGAGTTTTTTTAATTTGACCAGAGAGGGACAGAGTAAGAGAGATGGAAAGCAAGAGAGCAAGTCGCCAGATCCTAGGACTTAAACCACAGTTGGCCACGTGGGAGTCCAGTGCCCTTAACCGCCACGCCACCTGCCACCCCTAATGTGCTTGTTTCTAAGGGGGTATTTTTGAGAGCGCACAGGCCCAGACTTCGCTCTATGCATTTGCATGCACTCCTTCAAGTGCTATCCCAACTTGACAGATGACCCACTTACCTGAGTGGCAGAGGGGCTGGGGCTGGGCCTCTCAGACACAAACCTATACTGCTTTCCATTTGAAAAAAGTTTCCTACTCTCAGCTAGACTGTAAGGCTCGGAAGGGCAGCCCCTGGCAGGGACCAGCAGGTGAATACCCCCACATGGCCGACCATGGTTCAAGTCCCTGACCTGGTGACTTGCTTTCTCACTTTCTCTCTCTCTCTGGTCAAATTAAAAGAAATGAATGAATAAATAAAATTGAATAAATAATTCTTTAAAAAAAAAAAAAGGGGGGGGGAACCAGCAGTTAGCGTAATGGCTATGTCGCTGGACTCCCACATAGTCGACTGCGGTTTGAGTCCTGGACCTGGTGGCTTAAAACTCATGCTGGGCGCATGTGCGTGCGTGCCCAAGATCCCAAGAGGAGAATGGAGGAGAAGGGATTGTGGCGTGACCACCCCCCCTGGGGGGTGATTTCTCGCTTTCTCTCTCTATGTCTTTCTCTGTCTGTCTGGCGAGTGCATGCGCCCTATAGCGAAAATCTCTCAAAAAAAGAAAAGAAAAGAAAAGGCAGCCCCTGCTGTACTGTACTCACACGGAGGCCCTAGTGCTTAATGTCAGGCTTGACTCAGGCAATATATATCCATTGTTTATCGATGTGTGGGAAAGCTTGAGTACCGAGTATCCATTATTGTTTTCTGAACAAAATGCTTGTGATATTTAAAAAATAAAATACAGGGGCCAGCAGGAGGCGTAGTGGTTACGGGCACTGGACTCCCACATGACCAGCCGCAGTTTGATCCCAGTCCTGGTGGCTTTCTTTCTCGCCTTCCCTCTCTCTCTCACCCACTCTGTCCCTCTCTGGTCAAATTAAAAGAAATAATTCTGAAAAAAAATCGTAAAGATCCAATTACCGCAGTCCCATCTCTGTAGTTCTTTCCTTAACCTGGACACCTCCTACCCAGGTGTGTTGGGGGGGTGCTATGTACTCGGATCCTTGAAAAAAATAACAAAAAAGCCTAAGCACTAGGTGACTCAGATGAAAGTCTATGCTCATCTTTTTTTAATATTTTATTTGTTATTCATTTATTTTTTTAATTTGACCAGAGAGAGACAGAGCGTGAGAGAGGGAAAGTGAGAAAGCAAGCTGCTAGGTCTAGGACATGAACTGTGGTCAGTTGTGTGGGAGTCCAGGTGCCTTAACCACCATGCCACCTGCTGGTCCCCATGGGCTCATCTTCTTGGTTTAAAAGTTTTGTCTTTGGGCCGGCAGGTGGCATGGTGGTTAAGGCACCTGGACTCCCACACAACTGACCACAGTTCATGTCCTAGACCTAGCAGCTTGCTTTCTCACTTTCCTTCTGTCTCTTTAGTCAACTTCAAAAAAAAATTAAATAATGACAATGAATAAAATTAAATAATTCCTTAAAAAGAATGTATTTCAGGACCAGCAGTTAGCATAATGGCTATGTTGCTGGACTCCCATGCAGTCGACCGCAGTTCGAGTCCTGGACCTGATGACTTAAACTCACGCCAGGCCTGTGTCCCGACCCGGGGGACAGTCGAACAGGTTTCCTGAGGGAAGGAGTGAGAGCCGGGGCGAGCGGCGCAGTGTTACAACACGGAGACGACACAGTGTCTTCAGGGTCATCCGTTTATTGTGGGCAGCACGGTACAACACAGAGACGATTCAGTGTTACAACTCTTCAGGGTCGCATTGTCTATTGTGAGCAGCACGGAGACAACGCGGTGTCACAATTCTTAAGGGTCGTCCGGAGACAACACGGTGTTACAACTCTTCGGGGTCTTCCGGGTTGTCTGTGTCGTCTGGAGATTGTGGGCCAGGGATCGTGGTTATATACAGGATGGTGGACCATGATTGGCTGTAAAAGGTGGGTTATGATTGGTTGCTTTTGGACAAATCATGAGGTGCCGGATATGCAAATCTGAGGGATTCTAGTGGCCAATCAGAGTATAGTTTCAAAGGTGAGGTTTTGAAGGGAAGCCAATCATGGCTTTTGGCATTGTGTAATTGTTTGCTTTCTGAGAAACCAGCAATATTCACTGGTGCACAGCCTCCCACGGGCCTGTGTGCATGTGTGCCTAAGGTCCCGAGAAGAAAACGGCGGAGAAGGGATTGCGGCATAGCCAACCCCCTTGGGGAGATTTCTCACTTTCTGTCTGTCTGTCTGTCTTCTCTGGCAAGCACACACGCCCTACAGCAAAAACCTCTTGGGGGGAGGGAGTTTCTTCTCAGGGCCAGCAGGTGGTGCAGTGGTTAAGGACGGTGGACTCCCACATGGCCAACTGCAGTGTGAATTCCAGACGCAGTTGCTCGTTTTCTCTCTCTTGCCACTCTGGTCAAATTTAAATAAATATATGAATACAGTTAATTTCTTCTCTCCTCAGTGAAAAGAACATGGCATCACCTAGGTTTAACTCTCTAAGTCTAGAGTATGTCTAAGGTGAAGAGGAGGGCCGACCAATGGCATCACGGTCAGGGTGACTGGAATCAGATAGGGGAAGGGCCAGGGGCCTTTCAGGGGATTCAGGCAGGGCCTTGGAGCTAGTGGCTGGCCCAGGAGTAGCAGTAATCATACTGGCACATACTCCCACCTGGCTGACTGCAGGGTCCTGGACCTGGTGACTCAGAAAATACCCTAGGAGTCATGGACACAGCCACTGTGCCCTGCTCTTATCCTCACATGATGTCTCAGGATTTGCAACCTTCCCACCAGATGTGGCCCCTGGCCCTTGGACCTGAAAACTGGTGGCCTTATAGAGATCTGGACACACTGAAAGACACCAGATGCACGGGCACACGGGGACAACCTAGTGAGGACAGAGGGAAGGCATGTGTCTGTAAGCCAAGGAGAGGCCTCTAAATAAATCAAACCTGGCAACACACCTTGATCTGGGACTACTAGCCTCCGGAACTGTGAGGAATACTTTCCTGTTGCTTAAACACACCAGTATGTTGTGTATATGCCCAAAATCCTGAGGAAAATGGAGAAAGGACTGCAGCTCGCCATTCCCCCTCAGGGGATGCTTTCTCACTTTCCCCTCTCTCTGGCCACTGCACACACCCTACAGGAAGGTGAGGGGGAGTCAGAATTCTCATGCTTTGATCTCTAGGTGGGCAGAGGGTGGAGAAGGATATGAACCCTTTAGGGGCAGGCCAAGAGGAAGCTACAAGGGCCAAGTGGAGTGGGCGGGGCTCTGCTATCCCGCTTGAATCCCACATCAAACCTCTCTAACCTGTCTATACCTGCCCACACCTGGGCCTGATCCCATAAACAATGTGACACAGAGTTAACCCAGTCCCAGTTTATTGTGGAGGGAAACAGGGGACGTGGAGCAGAGCAGGACACTCCCCTCTCCCCTGCTCCTGTGGAGCTGAGTGCTGCAACTCAGTGAGGGGAAACAGGACTGAAGAGGCCAGAGACTGACAAAAGAGGACAGAGGGGAGGAGACAGGATGGGAGTGGTGGTGAGTGAGGCAGGTTCACCAGATTGACAAGTCAGGAAAGCTACAAGGAAGTCTACCCTCATCCTTCTTGCTGCAAGCTCAGTCTGGTATCAGGTCTTAGAGACATGACGGGGATACAGAGCTGAAGGGGACACCATATCTGAACGGGTGATGGGTGGCCAGATTCGGAGGGCATGGGAAGATGGAACGTTCAAACGATGGGAAAGGGATACAGGAAAACGCCGTGACTTCCCCAGACTGGCCTGGGCAGATCCATACTTGATACTTTCCAGGGAGAAGAGTCGCACAAGAGCCAGGGAGTGGAAATAAAACCAATGCTGTACACACACTGAAGGTACAGAGGAGGCCTCAGAAATAACAGTGACCAGAGACGGTGGGTATTTTCAGAAACTCAATGCAGGAAGCTGGAGGTGTTAGGGAGAGATTCCGGAACAGGGTGGAATCTGGGAAGAGTTAGGTGTCAAGGTCTAGTCGGGGGAAGAACCAAAAGTCCTGAACCATTGAAGACCAAGTACATGTGGCGCAGGTCAGCAATAGACAGGCCCAGTTTCAGGGGCAGGGTGGCCAGGGGGTCTAGGGCTTTAGGCACCTGCCCAGCATGAATGCTAGGTAGGGGCAGTGAGAGGTTCAGGGCCTGGTAGAACTGTCTGACCTGGGCATCAGAAAGGGGCAGGGCCAGGGGCGGGTCAAGGGGTTCAGACAGGGGGCTCTGGAGCTGGCGGCTCATCCAGGAGTTGCAGTAATCATACTGGCAGCAGCGGGCCTGATACCAGTACTCTGAGAAGTAGGTGTTGCGTTGTTCTTGGCAACGGTAGGAATTGTACTGTCCACACCCTCGGACCACGAAACGGACCTTGATACCTGGAGAAAAAGGGAACGCTAATAAACTTCTGCTAACAGTCACCCAGAGTCCCCATCCCTCATCCAGACCCAAACACTATTCCAGACTCCTTCCAGAGAGATCAGAAAAATTAGTTCAGTTTGCCCTCCTGCCCCTAAAGCCCCAAACTCCTTCCAAGATCCTCCCCTCTCCTTACATCGCAGGCACCAAGCAGCCCTCATTGTGAGGGGAGAGGTGATGAAGCTATAGGTTGTCCCCGCAGCCCCTTTCTGGGACGTTACACACCACGGAAGATGGTGATCACCATGCATGGGGATGAGCTGCTGACGGTGCACTTCTCTGAGCCTGAAATGCATCCTACAGAAGGGTCTTCCAAGAGGCAGAAGTGACAAGTCCGGACTTCAGGAACAGACGCTGGGGACACAGAAGGAAAGATGGAAGCACTGGCTCACTCCCATGTTCCCTGCCCTGCAAGAGGCCTTGGTACCCAGGGCTCCACCTCTAACCCCTTCCTCCCTGCCCCGGTCCCCACTTACCCTTTCCCACTGTGAAGCCCACCATGACCAGCACACCTACAAGCACATGGACCTTCATTATAGAGTTCTGGGATGGGGCAGTCCCTGACAGATGCCCTGAAGCCCTATCTTCCTGTGACACGCTCCTTAGTCCTGAGTTGCAGGGTAGCTTTGAGTCTGAGCAGGAAATGCCACAGGTGGACTCGAGCTATATTCCTGCTTGGGGCAGGATCCCAGCTGGGGTAGGAAGTTATTAACTTGGTAGAATGGCATGTCCTCGACCCACGAGGTCTGGGAGTGTGGGAGCAGTGGCCTAAACAGGGGCAGCACTTTAGCACCACCTGAGCCTGTATCTTAACTGCTTCTGTCCTGCATGGCCCCCAAGACCATTCTCTCCACTCAAGCAGCCATGGACTAGTGTCTCTGGCACCATTTGCTGTCCTCTCCGTATACGAAGGGGTCCGTTCCATCATGCCGGGAGAAACTGGCAGGGTACCAAGTACCCTTATCCTTTAAGATAAGCTGGGAGCTGGCAGGTGGTGTGGTGGTTAAGGGCGCTGGACTCCCACATGACTGACCGTGATTCAAGTCCTGAACCTGGCAGCTTGCCTTTTCACTTTCCTGCTCTCTCTCTCTCATTTCCTCTCTGGTCAAATTAAAATAAAGTTACATAAAAATAATTCTTAAAAAAAAAAAAAAAGCATGTCTCAGCTCCCCCAGCAGGGGGCACACAGACATCACTGAAGAGCAATTCTGGACCATCTCTCCCTACTGCTTACAGTCCTACTGGGTTCTCAAAAAAATGATTTTGTTTTTCTATGCAAAAATAAGCCATGACTTTTCCGACACCCCAGTATCTACTTAAGAACCCTTTCCTAACAAAACAAAGATAGTATTGCTGATTAAATCCCTGCGAGGACAGGGACAGCTACAGTGATCTGAAAAGACTGCTCTAGTCTTCGAAACCTGGTTTTTCTGAGTTTTTTCTCTCTGACCATGTACTCTTCTCGTATTCACTCCTAGGAATCCTGCTCTGCTTTATAATAAAAACATTGGACCAGCCAATGGCATGGTGGTTAAGGCAGCTGGATCCTACATGGCTGAAAGCACGGTTCAAGTTCTAGACCTGGTGGCTTAAAAAACACACCAGGTGCATTATGGGCACATGCCCCAAATTAAGAATGAAGGGACTGTAAGTGTGCTTCCTCATTTTCCCCTCTCTTTCTTCAACAAATGCACATGCCCTATAGCAAATTACCAAAAAACAAAAACAAAACAAAATAAATCACCTAAATCCACTGGGCACAAATCTGTGGTTTTCAACTTGGGAGGACGGGCTGGCCCCGAGGGCCCTAGGGTCCAACAAATCACCACCTCCCCCCATCCCCAACCACAAGCACCAGCAGAGTAGCTCAAGTCCTTTTCTTCCACTTTATTTCATATTCCCACCACAATAATGACTCCTTTAATTTAAACTAAAAACCAAAGAAGATTCCTGAAAGGGTGGCAGCAAAGGACTGGAGGTGTCAAAGACCGAGGAACAGGTGGAATGGGTAATCAGCGAATTGTCTTGACTGGGCTCTTGAAGTTGCTGGCAGCTTGGAGTTGCAGCTGGTAGGCCATCGGGTGGATCTTGAAACCGTAGAGCCTGGGCCAGGGCAGAGGTCAGAGAGGCAGCAGGTTGAGCCCCCTCCTGGCCTTGCCAGTGGCATACAGTCCCACCTCCCCAACCCAGCTCATCCACGGGCCTGCTTAGTGTTTAAGGGCAGTGGTCCCCCAACCTCTTTGCTTAATTTTTATTGGAAAATGTATCTTAAACACCCACTGAAACTCAAACTCTAGGAGACATAAATCAGTACTTCTCTCAGTGAAAAACCTTTCCTCCCTACACCAGGGTAAAAATGTGGCTCTATGATGGTAGCTCAAGTTTAACCTGTGGTTCTGAGCATTGTCTTGCAAAAGGTTCTGCATCAGGATGATGACAATAATCGCTATCATTTAAATGTTGCTTCACACCACACGCACACTTTGAAAATCTCTGGTATACCCCATAAAGAGGTACAATTAAATGTAAAAAATTGTTAAAACAAAGTAGAAAAAAATGTGTAAGCGCCACATGTTATTATTCTGAACAAGTCACACACTTAAAGAAACTGTCAGGCAGGTGCGGTCATTATCTTCATTTTATGGACAAGGAAACCGACACAGGAAATTAGCTGAATTTTCCTATGATCATTCATCAGGGAGAAACAGTCTGGGACTCGGGAGAAGCAAGCCTCAAGGAAGGGCCATGCCCTGTTCTCTCGTCTCTCTAGGGGATCCTGGGCCTTTCCTTTGACCCGTGGTGATTCTGTCCCTGTTTCCCACCTGGGCACAAACTGGTTGGCAGGTCGCTTGGGCCGATATTCGGGATGCACCATGAAGAGCATGTGAGGGAAACCAGTGCCGAAGTAGGCGCCATCTGTGTGATGGTGCCTCGACGATTTGGGTGTATACACATCCATGCACTTGGGACAGTAGAGCTTCACCATGGCCTCGCCTGGGATGTCCGAGAGGCCTGGGAGATAGTCAGACTCAACAGGTCAGACACACCTCAGTCCTGCCCAACCCTCCCACAGGGTTCAGGGCCCAATTTGCTGAGCCCTAACTCCTACCCAGAAGACCACCCTCTCCCTTCTTTAACACTCACCGATGGGAAGCATTGGCTGGTTCTCGCAATACACACGGGGACAGTAGCCAAAGTCTCCCTGCTGGTACTTTTCCAACTGAGGTAAATAAAATCAAAGGGTTGGTAGGTGAAGAGGAACAACTCCTCCTTAAGCGCAGCCTGCATCACACTCTGTCCTCCACTCCTCCTGCCTCTGTCCAGAGGCCCCTTTTTAGGCAGGCTGCAGAGCATCAGTACTATTCGCTGTTTGTTCCCTGACAAAGAGGCTGCCTGTAACAACTTCCTGCCCAAGGCTACACCTCCCTCCCTGAAAATACCCTCTTGGGCATGACCCTCAGTGAGAATTCGATTCCCAGGCCCACATTCTGGGGTTCTTCCCTTCTTCTCTGCTAAACTCTTTGACAGGGTTTGAAATGGTGTGCTGCAAGCATCTCCGTTTCCCTTACTATCTCAGGAGGAGTCAAGTGGGAGCACAAGGGCCTCACCATCTGGGCGATGCCACGGTTGGTGAGGATGTAGCGGGCGTGGATCAATCCATAAAGCATCTCAGCTGCCTGCTCAATCAGGTCACTCTGGTTGGGGTTGTCTTCCAGCTCTTCATCTGAAATGTGGCTCAGCTAAATGCAACTATTTGTTTTCCATCTTTCCTAGGTGCCCCACCCCACCCCCAGGGACTGCTGGGTACTTGGTCTGCCCAGTACCCACCCATGAGCCTCACCTGAGCATCTGACCCAGAAACCTAGGCCTGTGACCCCTCCACCAACCCAAGTCAGCTCTGCCTTCTCTCCACACCTCTTCAGTCTCAAGTCTCTTCTCTCCCTCCCACCTCCCGCCTCAACATGTAAGTGCAAAAACATCAATAAAGAAAGTGGGATTCTAGACTGAAAAGTGCAAGGCAGGAGAAAGGTAGTAAATACCTAAGGAAAAACGGGTGTTACAGGATAGACCTGAGTTACAGATTCAGAAAATATGGGAACTAGTGATAACACATCACAAAATTAGGCAAGAGTCAAGAGATCAAAATGAAAAAGGGGATGTTGGGTTAGGAAACTCGGAGAACCAAAAGGAAATTTAGAAATTTGAGAAGCAAATGGGGATTTGGAAAAGAAAAACAAAGTGTGTGCACACCACACACACACACACACCACACACACACATATACAACCCTGAGGGTGCCTCACCAGGCTCCAGGTCCAAGATCATGTCTAGAGCTTGTCGATAGTGAGGCACCTGCTCATTGAGTCCAGTAAGATTAAATTTGTCCTGGATGTAGTCTTCATCCACCTGTCAGGACATGAAGTCAAGAGGAAACCCATATCGGCGTCTCGGCTTTTGATCTGGGCAAGATGCTCTCTGATGCTGTGTCCTCAACACCACTACATCTGCTCCCCTCAACACCACTTCATCTGCTCCCCTCAACACCACTACATCTGCTCCCCTCAACACCACTACATCTGCTCCCCTTATTTCCCACGGCCAGCTCAGCAGAAGTACTTGAGTTTCTTTCCCCAGGGCACATACAGTCCCTCTCATGAAAGGTCTGGTCTTTCTTTTCTAAGAATAAGCAGGTACAGCATTCTCTTCCTAAAAGATATGTTCCTTTCAAGATTCCTTTCTCTACGCCTGCCCTTGATCTCTATCAAGCAGTTTTGTCCACTCCTGGGTTTCTTTCTTTTCTTTTTTTTTTTTTTTTTTAAAGAGGTTTTGCTATGGGGCACATGTGCTCACCAGAGACACAAAGCAGATATCACCCCCCAGGGGGGATGACTATGCCACAATCCCTTCTCCTCCATTCTCCTCTTGGGATCTTGGGCACGCATGCACATGCGTTTGGTGTGAGCTTAAGCCATCAGGTGCAGGACTCAAACCTCAGACGACTACATGGGAGTTCAGCAACATAGCCATTATGCTAACTGCTGGTCCCTCCACTCCTGACTTTCTGAGGAAGGTGGAGGCTGAACAGCTTGGTTTCTGAGAGCAATTCGATCTCTTATAACACACGGCTCTGCACATTACAAACCATGTCCACACACAGTATTTCTATTTTCCTAAGACAGCCAAGCTACATGCTACCAATACTACGGAATTAATAAAAAAGAGAAAAAGTATAGATTGACTACTCCAGTGCTACAGTGCTAGAACGTGGTAGGGTTGAGACTCGGGCTGCAGTCTTGTCGCTTCACCCCATGTTACTGAAAGGTTACTGAGGGGACCCTTTCTTGACAGGAAGAAGTTTCCATGGAAGCATGTAGAAACGAAATAAGCGGGGGAACATCCGACCAGAGGACGTGTGGCGCTAGCAAGTAGGGAGCTGAAGAGAACTCACTTCACAGAAGAATTCATTGCCCCGGAGCCCGCAGAACCAAGAAATCCAGGACACCTCCTCTGAGCTGCTCATCTTCACGTCAGCTAGGGGAGAAAGGACTTCGAGTAAAGCTCAAGCTCTCCCAGCTCTGGCATCTCCTCCCACGCTCTGCCCCGCAAATACCGAAGAATCCGGGACCGACTTTTCTGAAAGAACCCCGGCCTCTGGAACCCCTCTGCAGCCCCGTTTCTCAGCTCTCGGGCCCCACCACGTCTGGGACGTGGACACGCTCCGACCCACCAGGCCTCCCCACGCCAGGCCTCTCCCCCGGGTCAACTCCAGCAGAGACCTCGGCTTCCCCGCCGCGGCAGGTCTCTGCGCGCCCCGGCGCCTTTCCCCAGGATTCCAAAGTTTATCCTCCCCAAGCAAGAACCGGGCCCTCCTCCCACAGCTGGGGGAGGCCGTCAGGTCTTTCCCGGGAGTCCTCACATCCCGCCTCCGTCCCTCAGGCCACCCGTCCCGCCTTCGGGGGCCGGCCCGGGTCACTTCCCTCCCCGCCCCCACACCGAGACGCGGAGACCCCATGTGCCGTCCCCAGGGACAGGCCGCTTCGCGCGGCCACCACCTCAAACTCACCGACTGGACGGGGACCGGGACCGGGGTGGGGGAGGGGAGTTGCTGCTCCCAAGGAACGGCGGCGACCGCTGGAGCGCAAATCGCCGAGCAGACCGCGGCAGGCGAAGTGGGGTGGGGGGGAGTGGAGAGCGGGGTGGGTGGGGAAGAGGGCAACGCGCAAGCGCCAGGGGTCGGGGCTGCAGTGGACGCTGGGAGATGTAGTCCTCGGCAAGGAGAGAAACTGACGAAATGAAGGAAACGCGAACTACCAATCCCAGGGTGACCTGCTCACGACCCTGGTGTCACGAGGCCCCAGGAAGACGTTTGGGGGCGGGGCGCAGCCAGGGGGCCAGCGGAAGCGGAAGCGAGGGGCGGCGTTCGGAGCTGGGGAGCCTGGGAACTAGAGTCGCGCGTTTTCTGGACGGAGAGGCCGAGAGGGGCGGGGAGAGGGGCGGGCCCGGTGGGGTCCCCGCTCGACGTTCGCCTCGCCCTGCCTCCCTCTCTGTCCCGGCGCGGCGCTGCTGCAGCTGTCCCGGGGACGGGGCCATCCCTGGCCAGCCCGCCCGGGGCCCCTCTTCCGGGCCAGGTCTGTCCTTGGAGACCCCCGACGGCCTGTTACACCCTGGCTCCGGCTGACGAGGCCAGGGCGGGGTGGTGTGCTGAGCTGAGCTGAACTGATGTGGGGAAGGCCTGGGCGCTAACCTGAGGCGGCGCCTGCCATTTTGCCGCTCGTCCCCTTGCACTTCTCCATCTCCGCTCAGGGACGTCTGCTGCGGGCTTTTAAGTGTGGCTTTCGAACCCTGGTCAGAGTAATGGTGAGGGGCAGCGTGACGTTATCTCGTGTCACAGCTTCTCGGCATCCCACAGGTGCCACCTCCTCGTCCAGGCCTTTCCTAACCCAGCTAATGATTCCCCAGCTCCAGAAAATGAGCTTGGAGCTGGGGCCACATTGAGGAAGGCGAAGGGCATTGTGGGCGTTATGTAAAAGGCCTCCAACCGACGGACGCTGCCCGGCGCCTCGCGCTGCCTCTGCACGCGGGGCTCCGGCTGTGCGCCTGGACAGGTTCCAGGGCGGGAAACTGCAGGCGGTGCCCTCCGCGCGCCTGCGCCCTCACGCACCGGGCGGGGCCGCGCATGCGTCTTGGTGCTGTGTCGCCAGTGGCTGGCGCCCTGTTGTTGTTTGTCTGGGGGCTGCCGCCATTTTGCTGTACGGAAGCGCCGCCGCGACGCGGGTCCTCGGGGTGCCGCGCCTGTTTTGTTTGGGAAGGGGAAGCTCCGAAGTAGTGATGACGAAGATTTAAAGGGCCCGGCGGGTTTTTCTTCACGGTACGTCTTCCGGAGTAGGCGGATTTCAGAGAGGCTGGTATATATTGTTGGTGGGGACCCGGGTGGGAGCAGAAAGTAGGCCATTAGGACAGATGGCTCATGTTTTCTTTCTTAACTTTTACCAAGAGGCAGGGTGTGTTATTGTGGGGTTTTGTGGTTTTACACGGTAAGGCCTTTAGGCCCTGCAGTGTACTAGGTTGTGGGAGTCATTTTTGGGGAAGGGTGTTTTTGGCTGTGAAACTACTTTTTTCCTTATCGCAGCGGGTCCCTGGAGGTGGTCACTGCAGGCGTTTGGCTCATTTGTCTAAGCTTCCCCTTCCTCGCCTCGTCTCGTTTTTTCAGTTCTCTCCATAGCCATGTCCAGGTCCTCCCTCATCGCCTTCACCCCAGCCACACACCCCAGTGACCTGTGGAAGGATGGACAACAGCAGCCACAGTCCGAGGAGCCCGAGCCCACCCTGGATGGGGCTGCAGCTCGCGCTTTCTATGAGGCCCTGATTGGGGAGGACCGCAGCGTCCCTGAGCCCCCGAGATCTCAGCCTGAGCCTGCCAGGGAGAGGAGGAGGAAGAAAAGAACCATGAGAGTGACTACAGCAGGAGCATCGGGAAGACGTGGACAAAGGAGATCCCTTGAGACCGAGGACAGGATGACCCAGTGGATACTGAGGGCAGCCCAGGAGGGAGACTTGGCAGAACTTCGGAGACTGTTGGAGCCCCGGGAGGCAGGAGGAGCTGGGGCGAATATCAACGCTCCGGATGCTTTCTGGTGGACTCCTCTGATGTGCGCTGCCCGAGCTGGCCAGGGGGCAGCTGTGCGCTACCTCCTTGGCCGAGGGGCTGCCTGGGTGGGAGTCTGCGAGCTGGGTGGCAGGGATGCTGCTCAGCTGGCTGAAGAAGCCGGCTTTCCTGAGGTGGCTCGCATGATCAGGGAGAGCCACGGAGAAACCAGGAACCCAGAGAACCGGTAAGGGGACACCTTAGCCCATATCCATCTTTCAGCGTGTTCCAGCCATGCCGTACCAGAGGCTCCAGAACAGAAGAACAGAGCGAACAGTGTTTGTTAACCCTCCAGTGTAAGTTGATAAGGAAAGCAGTAAACTGGAGTGGTTATGAACATAAGCTTCTTGGGTTTAACTCCTGATTCCACTTGGGCGAGTAGCCTAATGACTACAGGTCCGAGTCTGCTTATCTGAGAAATGGGGGTAATAACACCCTTTTTTTAAAAAGAATTATTTATTTAATTTTATTTATTATTCATTCATTTGTTTTAATTTGCCAGAGAGAGACACAGAGATAGAAAGAGGGAACGTGAGAAAGGAAGCCAGCAGGTCCAAGACTCCAATCATAATCAGCCATGTGGGAGCGTCCAGCACCTTAACCACCACGCCACCTGCTAACCCCAATAACACCTTTCTTATGTTGTTAGGGTTAACGACGTGGGCCAGCAGATGGTTTATGGTTATGTTACTGGATTCTTACATGGCCAACTGCGGTTTAAGTCCCAGGCCTGGTGGCTTGAAACTCATGCTGGTGTGTTGGACATCCCCAAAATTCTAAGAGGAGAAGGAATTGCAGCATGGCCATCCCACCCGGGGGTGATTTCTCATCTGTTTGTATCTCCAGGGAGTACATATGCCCTATAGCAAAAAAAATCTCTCTCTGAAAAAAAAAGAAAATAGAAAAAGATTTTTTTTTGGAGAGGTTTTTGCTGTAGGTGCGTGTACTCGCAAGAAAGACAGAGACAGAGAAAAAAAGCAAGAAATCAACTCCCAGGGGGGTTGGCCACGCCACAATCCCTTCTCCATTCTCCTCTCAGGATCTTAGGCAATGCACACACACCTGTCATGAGTTTAAGCCACCAGGTCCGGGACTTGAACCACGGTCGACTACATGGGAGTCCAGCGACATAGCCATTACACCCACTGCTGGTCCCAGAGAAAGATTAATGGATTAATATACATAAGATGCTAGAACCATGTTGGCCACATAGTATGTACTGTACAAATGTTAGCTGGTCACTATTATTGTCCTTGCCCAAGAGCTTGTGAGGTGTGGTTATCTCTACTCCCAGTTAGTCCCCTCTGATCCCTTATTGGTAAGCGGAGAGGAAGACAATTTGTTTCTTAGCAGAAAAGCTGGGAGGGTTTTGTCCCATCCCACCAGCCCCTCTGAGACCTCAACTCTCCCCCTTTTCCCTCCCCTGCCTTTAACTCTTTTTCTTCTTTCTCTGCAGGTCCCCCACCTCCGTTCCCTCCCCCCAGTACTGCAATACCTGTGCTGCCCACTTCCAAGATTCCAACCACTACACATCCACAGCTCACCTGCTGTCACTTTCCCAGGTTCCCCAGACCCCCAGCCTTCCCCTTGGGGTACCCACCTCTAGCCCAGGCTTTAAACTGTTGCTGAGAGGGGGCTGGGAGCCAGGAATGGGGTTGGGACCCCGGGGTGAGGGCCGTGCCAACCCAGTCCCTACCATTCTCAAGAGGGACCAGGAAGGATTAGGCTACAGATCAGCAGCCCAACCTCGAATCACACACTTCCGGGCTCATGATACTCAGGCCGTGGCTGGAAGGGAGAGAGCCCCCCGGGTGGCCACACTGAGCCGGAGGGAGAAGAAAAGGCAAGAAGAGAAGGACAAGGCCTGGGAACGGGACCTGAGGACTTACATGAACCTTGAGTTCTGACCTTAATGAAGCTTGACTCTGGTCTTCTGCAGAAGTTGGAACTTTGGCCTCTGATGTGAGCATGTTGACGTCTACTTTCTGAGATCTGCCCAAGTGGCAGATCCTCAGGTTTTGGTCAGGGTTTTGAGAAGGCCTGAGAGATGAAAAACAAAACTTGGGCCGGCGGGCAGCGTGGCAGTTGAGGCCCTGGACGCCCACGTGACTGACCAGTTTGGGTCCCAGACCTCGTGGCTTGCTTTCTCTGTCCCATCAAATTAAATGAGTGAATTTTAAAAATAATTCTTAAAAACGTAACCTTTTTCCTCTTCTGTGGTTTATTTGCTGTTATGGGAAAGCCAAACGTCGTGGGGGGGGGGGGGGACACAGGAGAGAACATTGGAGCCCCACATGGAAGTACCATTGGAGCCGGCAAAGGCAGCCTCTCCAGGTGGCATGGTTGGATCAACTCCCTGGCAGCCTGGGTTCACTTCCAGGTCCTAGCAGCTGCTAGGAGTACCCTATCTATTCTTTCATTCCTCCAAACTAAGAATTGCCCAGGTCTATGCAAGTCTCGCCATCCCCAGAAAGGGTCCCCTGGCCACTCCAAGACCAGTCAGTCACTGATTTCCCAAGTTCATATAGTATGTGTAGAGTATAAATATAAAATAATTTTTTTTTTTTTTAATTTCAGGGTCACCAGGTGGCGTGGTGGTTAAGGGCGCTGAACTCCCACATGGCTGACCGCAGTTCTAGTCCCAGACCTGGCAGCTTGCTTTCTCACTTTCCCTCTCTCTCTCTGGCCCTCTCTGGTCAAATTAAAATAAATAAACAGATAAATGAAGTTGAATGAAGTAATTATTAACGTTTTCTAACCCTCAGTGAACAGCTGTGTGGTCACATAGTGATAGGGGAGGTCAGGGAGGGCCCCCAGAGGGGGACTTGTTGGAAGAGGGTAGTGTGGTAGGAAGGCCTAAGGTTATCCAGTCTGTTAGTTGACCTGGGACCTCAACTGTGAACTTTTCTTTTAAAGAGATTTTTGCTACAGGGCACGTGCACTCAGACAGAAAGCAAGAAATTACATGCCCCCCTCCCCAGTGAGGATGGCCATACTGCAATCCCTTCCCCTCCATTCTGAAGATTTGGGGCATGTAAGCACAGGTGCCTGGCCTGAGTTTCAAGCTGCCAGGTCAGTGAGTCAAATCGCAGTGGACCATGTATGAGTCCAGACAAGTAACCTTATGCCATCTGCTGGTCCCCCAACTGGGGAACCTTTTTTTTTAAAAGAGAGAGCTTTTGCTGTAGGCCCGAGCGCTTGCCAATGAGAGAGAGGAGAAAAGGCAAGAAATCACTCCCCCACACTCCCCAGGGGGGGTGACCAGGAAGTGACCCCGTATCCTCCACTTTCCCCTCGGGATTTTGGGCGCACACTCACGCGCTCAGTGTGTTTTATTTAAGCCGCTCTCTGTGACTTGAACCTTGATCGATTACGTGGGAGTCCAGCGTGTAACCGTTAAGCCATCTGCTGGTCCCTCAACTGTAAACTTTCAAATGAGGATTGCTCACTGTCTGAAAACCGAAGGCCGGAAGGACATCCTCTAGGTCCCCACCTAGCCCCCACGCCGGAGGGACCTGCAGGGGGTGAAATCTGCATGCGAGGGCGGGGGAAGAGCTACTCGAGCAGCAGGAGTCCCCTCGTTTCTTACTGGAGAAGCCTTTCGTAAAGTCACAGACGCGAAATGGAGGAATGGGGGGATGTGACGAAGTCAAGCCGGGGGAGCTGAAGGGGGCCGGCGGGCCTAGGGGAGCGTTGGGGACTCGGGCGACCGGGAGGATTAGACGAAGAGCCGAGCGTACAGCCCGGCGCCGGCTC